CAAGGCTCCACCTCACCGTGCACCATCGTCGACAGCCAACCGCTCGACGGAACCTTCGGCTGGTGCACCGACCTCGACAGGTGGGCGACGTAGGAAAGCGAGGGTTGTTCCGCCTTAGGTTCGACAACCACCCCCAGCCGGCACATCCGCTTCTCGAGCCACCCCCTCCGCTCCTAGGCGCACTTCGACGAGACCAAGCAGAGAGGACTTAGCTAGGAACGTCCCTGAAGCGACGGACGATGAGGATGATCGGACGGGAGTACAGGAGGAGGCGGACGATGTCGAACCGCCAGACCCTCTGCGGCCTGCTGCGGCAAATATATTAGAGGAGGATGCCGCGCACATTCTCGGCGACCAACAGGGCGCAGACAATCCGTACTTGGCGACGGGAACACTTAAGAGCAGGATTCTCCGTTGTGAGGTTCCGCTGCTGGGAGTTGACCAGGATTGCACCCGGCCGAATTATGTCTCTGGAAGCATGCACTACAAAGCTTGGGCCTGTAAATCTCTGGCACCCGGAAGAAACAACGGAGTGCCTAAAGAGGAGCAAGTGATCCACGAGGACAAGGCCGGTAGGGAGATCGGCGACGATATGGGGCCGAGATGGAGGCAGGCGCTCTGTAACGAGGAGCATCTGCATGGGCCAAAAATAACGAAATGGCGCTTGCCCGCATACGTCGAATACATGTCGACTGAAACCGACAAACAGGCGGAATCCTTGGATACAGGCCGGACCAGAGTCGCTGGCAGGAAGGCGAAAAAAAGCACCCCTCCGATGATGCTGGCTCGCCTTACTGCGCTAACGTGCTTCTGCAGAGTAGAGGCCATACTCTTCGACGAGCCACTAACCAAACCCTTGGACGATATCACCGAGGCCCGGTAGCTTCTTGCGGTCAAGCTGCGGCAGCTGCACGACTTTCAGTTCGAGTAAGTAGGCTGCCATACACCGGTGAATAAAACTTCTCACTCACATTCTCACCCCTTAATCGCTGTATCTGCCCTTTCAATGCAGGCAGTGCGTCGATCCACACCGGGGCTCGCTCGACGATGTTTACACGGAGGAGCAGTTCCGCATTCTCGTTTCAGACATCATGCCGTACTGGGCCAAGGAGTACTTTCGGGAGTCGATGGGTTACCCCAGTCAGTCGCTGTGGAGGGCCTTGGCCGTGAGGGTGATGATCCTGATGGCGCATCACATGCTGGGCAGGGGGATAAGCATCCGCGAGATCCGCTACTGCAATATGTTCACTCACGTCCTTCCGCCCATCACGAACAGCAAGGGAGAATCGTCGATCCACGTTCTCGTGGTCGCCTATCGCAACTCGAAGACCATCAAAGACAACAAGCTCGGCCACCTGTACCTGACTCGACACATGGACTTCCGGCAGTGCGGCTTTGGAGCAGTGTTCATGTGGATACATTTCCTTTTCGACCTTGTGCCGCTCCACTACAACAACGATAAGATCGTGCCCCCCTTGGATTTTAGCAACCCAGAAAACTGGTCGAAGAAGCACCTGTTCTTCGCCCTCTTCGACAAGGACAAGACCGAGTTGCCGTACGCGACTCATGCCAAATGGGTTACCTGGGCGATGAAAAGCGCGGAGTGGATCCTATCGAAAGTCACACACATCTTTCGACGGTCTGCGGCACAGATCTTCGCCGACAAAAACTGTGAAATCGACAACATCGCGCAGCTGGGTCAATGGGACATGAACGAGATGCGCATGTCATACGTCACAGGCATCCCGCGCGGGGCCATCCAGCTGCAAGCGGGTTTCACGACGGAACCGGGTGACTATTACCTTGGAAGATCGAAGAGCGAAGTACCCGCGAAGGTCCTGAAGGCTATCGAGGAGCACATATTTCCAAAGGCGGAGCAGTGGCTCGACGAGGTATGGATGCGTCGAGCGCATAGCGTGATGATTGAATGCAAATTTTATCAGTAGATCTACACTGTGGAAGCCCGATTGATCCGGGAGAGGGTTACAGGCGCGTTCGCCTGGGGGGTTATGGGCGCACTGACTCGCTACTGAAACAAGCCCTTTTATCCCAGTGTGTGCACTTCGGGCATCCCAGTGCGGGGGGGTGTCAGAGGTCCACTGGTGATCCCCGATTGATCCTAGGGAAGGGTTACAGGCATGTTGGCCTGGGGGGGTATGGGTGCACTGACCCGCTACTTAACAAGCCCTTTTATCCCAATGGTCTAGTGGTTGGGATTCAGACATGGTATCACAGCGGTCTCGGGTTCGATTCCCGGTGTATGCACATGTAGGTCGTTGCCGTTGTGCTTAGTCCTGGGCCTCCCAGTGTGGGGGGGTGTCAGTAGATCTGCACTGTGGAAGCCCGATTGATCCTGGAGAGGGTTACAGGCGCATTCGCCTGGGGGGTTATGGGCGCACTGACGCGCCACTGAAACAAGCCCTTTTATCCCAATGGTCTAGTGGTTGGGATTCAGACAAATTTTGCCCGTCTATCTCTCAATGTCACCACGTTTGTTCTTGTTCAGGCAATGGAATGGAACAACGAGCAGGACAAGGAGCATATGTTCTTCGCAGCGAAAAGTTTCTTGAAGGCCCTTCAAGCCGCCCGAATGCCCATCGCAGAGGATCTTGCGATGTACTACGTCCATTGTGACGACCACCCCTTCGACGGAGTGACTGTTTGCGACTGCGAGCGTAACCCTTATGCACAGATGTCGTGTTTGTGCAAGGACATGGATTTCCAAAAATGGGCGCTTGACGTGTACCTGCTCGACAAGTACGGCATCGAGATGCGGACCAACCCCACGCTGTCGAGATCTTCGGTAAGATGGCCCTTCCAAATTTTAATCCGAACAGTTTTCATCTGTCAGAATGTTATGTTTGTCTAGCCTGCAGTGGGGCAAGCGTCGCCCCTTTTGCCGCCTGTTTTGGCGCCCTGGGAGGCCGCGCGTTGCCCCCCCTCCCCCCCCGTAACCTCCCTACCCGCCGTCCCGCCCTGCCCTGTGTTAGGGTCTGGGGGTGGCGAGTAGGGGGTGGCGGGTGTGTGGTCTCCCCTGCTCCTCCTCCTCCTCCTCTGTCTCCCACTGATGCAGCTGCCGCTGAGGGGGGTGGGTGTGTGGGAGTCGACGGAGTGGTGCTAGGGGGTGGGGTGTGAGTGAACCTAGGGTGCAGCAAGGGGTGTGTGAAAGGGGGGTGGGATAGTTTGGGGAGGTTGAAGGGGGGTGGCCGCCGTGAAGCCCGCAGCTCCAGTCGGCCGTGAGACCGTTGCGCCAGTCGCCCGTGAGCCCGTTGCGCCAGTCGCCCGTGAGCCAGTTGCTCCAGTCGCCCGTGAGCCCGTTGCTCCTGCCGCTCAGAGTTAGTGGCGGAGCCAGTTACTCCAGTAGCCCGTGTGCCAGTTGCTCCAGTTGCCAGTGTGCCAGTTGCTCCAGTCGCCCGTGTGCCAGCTGCTCCAGTTGCGGCGTGTGCCAGCAGCTTCAGCTGCCGCCCACTACCTCCTCTCTTCTCATAGTCCCTCCTCCTCCACACTTGCCCTCAGTGATAGCGTCTAGCTTTGCTTACATTTGTGAACTTTAAACTGTTGCTTCTTGTACTTGTGCTCGGATTGTGTGGTGACATTGTGATCCACCCTGAGCTTGTGTTTTGCTTGCTTATTGTGCTGATTACACCCCACTTTGGCTATGGGGGTGTGTCAGAATGTTATGTTTGTCTAGCCTGCAGTGGGGTACTCAATAGTGAGTACAGCCCAATTTAGGGTTTGCTATATGTACTCAACTGCTTGCTAGTGAAATCACTTCCTTCCATTTATTCCTCATTTCTTCACATCATCAGCCCACTTACCGCTCGTGATCTTGTGCGCAGGACGCATCCTTTCAACTCAACACCAAGCACCAAATCACGCAACTACGGGCCGAGGTTAACTTACACAAGGAGGAGGGAGGGAAAAAAGAAATCAAGATCAAGCACCTCGTGCAGAAGGTAGAGTCATTGGAGCGGGAGAAGGGCGCGATGCAAGCGGAGATGGAGGCGAAGGCAGAAGCTCTCGCGCAAGTGCAGAAAGCCTTCGACGCACTGAAGATTACCGCGGCGACAACCGCAGCTGCAAATGTGGGGGGGAGTGAGAGCGTCCTGCATACGGCGACCGAAGAAACCACCCCGCCACCACATCAAGCCCCGCAATCAGCACCCACTCAACAGAGCGTGGGCAGCCAGCTCGACCAAGCATTCTTCGACGCAGTGGTGTGGCCGTGGTGCAATTGCGAGACCGTGCGGTAGGCGTGGTCGTACTGGGACGGGACAAGCCCGCTGAACAACGGACACAGTCTTCGACACGCTTACAGGAGAGGTTTCACCGACAAGTTCAGCAAGTTCACTCCGACTCCTCCCCCCGTTCCCCCCGTTGCGGTGGACCAGCCAAAAGAAAAGCCACTGACCCCAAAAGCTGTCGAGTCCAAATTGCGGAAGATGGAGGTTGTCATGAGGGCCGTCGAGATGTTCAGGGTCGACGACAGCAGCGCAGATACGTCGACGATCGTTGATAAGCTTGACTCAATAGTCACGAAGCACTAGATCAACATGCTGGCGGAAGGGCTCGTTCTCAAGGAGGATTTGGGGAAGCAGCTCACGAAGAAGCGCAAAGTCGAGACAGCTGAAGACAGCCGGAAGGACAAAGATCGCCTCTGGATCACGCGGGAGCTCATTCGCGTCGAACTTCGAACCACGGAATGGGCCGAGAACGTGTTCAAAGACAAATGGAAAGAGTTCATGAAAACAGTGGGCGAGAATCCAAGTTCGACAGGCAACCATGACGAGGGGGGAAACTAGAGTAGGTTGTTCTTTCAGAAATTGCATGGCAGGTTTTCATTCCTGAGCGACGATCTCCTCTATATGAACCTTCTGAGCATTATCGAAAACGAGAAGTCAAGAACCAAACAACATGTACATTCAGTCGATTAAACTTTGGAAACAACAAACACTACTGTCGAGAGATACAAACTCCCCCACGCAAAGTGCCGCCCTAGACTACTCTCCTTGCCCGGCCGTTGCCGTCTCCGCAGCATCCTCGTCGCCCAGCTTCGCCTTGCTCTTTTCTTCTGGCATATCCAGGTTGCCATAGCCCGCCTCCTCTAGCAAGCGCGCAGCAGCTCGACAGCAGCACCATTGCGTACAGACCTTTGCTACCACGCGCAGCATCTGCAACAGTATGGCGTCCGTCGAGCCAAGACCTTGGACAGCCGTCGAATACCGCTGATCGGGCCACTGCTTCATCGGAAACGCTTTGCCGACGTGCAAAAGTATGGACACGAGCGCGGCCATGGCAGCCACATAAGCCTTGCTTGCAATCTCCGGGGTGTAGAGCGTAGCGTTTGCGGCAGCTAGAGCATCCTTCTCAATATCCTCCCTCGACAACTTCCTGCAGGCCGCCCACAAGCTCGCCACAGTTGCTGCGATGGCCATCATGTGCGGTGTCGCCGCCATGCCCTTCGGGACCGGGTAAATCAGGTTCCCGTGCTTGAGGCCAAGCGTCCTAACCTTACCAATCGCCACGCACAGCGCGATTCCCCTATCGGTTCCAGCTCTCACTTCCTTTTCTGCCGTCACCAACAGCGACTTGAAACTGCACATTGCAACAAATGCATTAGTCAAGAGGCCAGAATTCGACCGACAGCACATTCACCGCCAAACAGCAGTTGTTCGACAATTCACCAAAACATCAGGAAATCGACAGCAGAGTCGAACAACATGACTTCGACAGGACTCACTCGTCAAAACGACATTCCCCTTGTTCTTGCGCCACGCTCCAAACGCCGGTTGGCATTTCTGCGGCCGCATCGAGGTAGACCTTCCAGTCCTTCTCATCATGCGCCGTGTACCCTTTGTACTCCGTAAGGACAATGTCGGGGAAGTACACGCGCCAGCAGACGGCCGTACAGAACTTCTGGTCCTTCTCTGTTTCAAAAGGGCCAAGGAACCGCTTCCTCCCGCCGACGGTCTGCTCGGAAACTGGCTTCCCCTTCCGCAACCTGAAACCCGGTCCTCTGAAGGGAGCTTTGCTGCCTCTCGTCTTGCCTTGGTCGTCCGGTCGAGGAGGTGGGGTGTAACCTATGACCTTGGCCTTTTTCGCCTTCTCCTGTCGAGCAGCAACGACGGTAGACGTCTTCACGACAGGAGCCTGGCCAGAGAGGCTGGCCAGCTCCACGACGTCAAAGCTCTCTGTAGCCTGTGCAGAGCGCTTTGACGACTTCGTCGCAGCCGGCTTCTTCTTCGACGTCGAAGGGGAACCCGGATCGCTAAAGCAGACGTCGCCCAGGGCCGGAGCATCGACAGGAGCAACTGCAGGGGTAGAGGAAGACGCCCAATATCCCACCAGCTCGACAGGACGGCCAGCACCACCGCTCTGCGCAGCGGATGCTGCTTTTGTCTTCGACAACAACCCAGCTGACGTCTCTCCCGCCCCTTGGCCCGCAGCGCCTCCGGACGGGGTGGGGACACATCGCTTTCCCAAGGCTTTGTTCCCGTCTGCGGCGACGGAATCGATTGCGGCACCACTTTTCTCCCCCGCAACCACTCCTTTCCCACCCGTAATCCCCAAACCCTGCAGAATGTCGCGCATCGGAGCAAACGCATCAGTTGGAGGCATCGCAGCTGCTTCGGAGCTCTTTGGGAGGGGGGACTGGTCGAGTACTATGACCTCGTTATCCTCCACGGACTTGGCGACGGGATGACGGCCACGCGACGGTGGTGATGCTACCCGGCTGCCGACATGTCCTCCCACCAAAGAAGAAGGAGGAACCACGCCTATGTGAAGTCGAGGCTCGGTCCCGCTGCGAACCCCTGCCACACCCTCCTGACGCGATCTCGTCGACGGGCCCGTCGAGCGCTGTAATCCCCTCGCCACCGCTTCGGTGAGGACTTCCAATCTCTCCGCTTCACCTTCAAGGTGGCCTTCTCTCACAATGTCCTTCAGCTGCTTCATGGTCTCGGGTGGGAGGTTGGAGTAGAACAAGTCCTCCTTGACGGCATTCTCGATATCCTTTATGAACGAAGCAGCCAGCTGCTCCTCGACCAGCTTGAGCCGCTCCTCGACCAGCTTGAGCCCCGTCCTCGCTCGCTTTTGCGATGGCGGCGGCCACACCCTCGATGATCTTTCTGCTCATTTCGTCGAGATTCGTCCGCACCCCTTCCAACAGCTTCCTCTCCTCCGTGACGCCGTTTACAGCGTCGGCGCACTGCTTCAGTGTGGTCTTCGACGACTCCCAAATCGTTCCCCAGGCCGTCCGAAAATCCGCAGCAAGCTTGTTGAAAACTACGGCTTGCTCACTCTGCTTCGCAAATACGTCGGCAACGAGCTGCTTCTGCGACGCCTCCACCTCCGCGACCCTCTGCAGTAGCTCGACAATCTGGCCTCCGGATGCAATGTCCGACGTCGAATGGCCCACCGTCGACGGGCGCCCCCTCGATGGGCCCGCTTGTCCGCTGCCACTGGCCGTGCGGTGTCTCCTTGTAACTCCGACTTGTCGCTCGTCTCCTCGGAGACACTCATGCATAGCCTCCCCGCCCTCTTGCTCCTGCCCTCCTACCCCACCCTCCTGCGCAGCCGTCACGCCCTCCTGCTGCTGCCCTCCTGTCGCACCCTGCTGCGCAACCGTCACGCCCTCCTGCTGCTGCCCTTCTGTCGCACCCTGCTGCGCAGCCTTCCCGCCCTCCTGCTGCTGCCCTCCTATCGCACCCTCCTGCGCAGCCTCCCCGCCCTCCCCCTGGTGCTGCACTCCTGCCCCACACTCCTGCACAGCCGCTTCGCCCTCCTGCTCCTCGACAGCCTGCACAGCCGTTTCGCCCTCCTGCTCCTCGACAGCAACCCGCTCCCCGAGCGCCACTCCGTGCTCCACCGTATGCTGCGTCCCGCCATCGTGCTCAACAGACTCATCGCTCGAGCTCGAGCCGGACGTCGATTCCTAGCTCGAGTCCTCCTGCCTATTCGCATCGCCGCCCTGGCCGCTCACCGTGTGCTGAGCTTGCGTCGATGTATCCTCCTCGATACCCTCCTCCTCTTCGTATTCATAATAGAGCACCTCACCACCTACTCCCTCTGCCAGCTTGTTTATCTTTCCCCTAAACAGCTTTACCATGTACAACGGAATCATCCCTCGTTCTCCCGAGATGCACGATTGCTCCCTGTCGAGGAGTAAGAATGAATTTCTCCCAGTTCGACAGAATCCGTCGCACTCCGTGAATGACACAAGCTCCCGCGCCTGGTTCGACGGGGCTCAGCAGAGGCGTTGACGTCTGCATCGGGTAGCAAGCACAGGTAAGCGACAGAACACATGCTCAACGAAAGCATTGCGGGTCTAGGGTGGGCTTACCAGTTTATCGAAACTCCTGATCATGTCTAGACGAATGTCCATGATGTTCAACACTTCCTGCTCGACCTCGGTCACAACCTGTTGGGTCAACGCGTACTCGGCTCGAAGCTGCCTCTTCATCCAACTGCAAGGCAACGGACAGCAGGGCCAGATCGTCTAGCGCAGTAGCTCGACAGCAGCGTGGCAAAACGATCACTCACTTGAGAACTTCCAGCGCCAGCGAAGATTGGTGGTTCACCGCGTCAAACTTGTCCTTCGAATCGAAGTGCATCATTCAAGTTCGACAGCCACGGTGCCTCGGAGCTAGCAGATCGTCGGGGCGTGATACCACAAACAGGCTCGAGTGGGAGCCCGGTGCCACAGTCAGGCTGCATGCACAGCGAATGCACATAAGCCCGGGTTTACGGCTAAACACAAAGCACGAAAGGCGAGGGGCGAGTGTCGAACTCACGTGGTCCGCAGCAGAACGAAAATGACTTGCTTGCCGAGCAGGCCGTCGAGGTGGTTGGCCGCAAAAGCGACTGGTGTGGGACGCGCCATCTCTTCGTGCGCACGCGTCGAGGTGATGATCGACACCATGGGGAGCTGCTTGACGGGCATCAGCTCCCGATAGAACAGGCTGCACATAAACCTAGCGAGCGGTCAGCGACAGTAAAGCAGGCCCAACCGACAATGCTCGACAAGAAACGTACGCGCCGCCCGCGGTGACCATCCTCACGTCGAGCTCAGCCTTCGGCGCCTCCTCAATCGCGTTTAACTGGTCCTCGAACACCTCCACCTCGATCACGCCTGCGGTTAGGATGAGGCCGCGCCGAACGGTCGGCTCGACTACGGGTTGGGAGGCGGGCCCCGTTGCCATGGCAGGCCTAGCAGAAGGGAGAGCGGGAGAGCTAGAAAGTTTGAAACTAGGGAGTAGGGAGAGAGAAAAGTTGAAGAAAACAGCAGCAAAATGAGAGCTCTCTCAGGCTTCAGCTGGTTGACATCCCCCCCACCGGGTCAGTCTCGGGTGCAAGCACGACGAGGAAGGACGCGTTCCGCGACGGCCGGAGGAGGCTTTTCGCAGGGGGCGGCGGGGCCCTATTCGCCTCGACGTGAAATCTGTTGCGCGCATGCATGAGGTGGGGCGCTTTTCATGCAGGAGGGATGTTGTGTGATGCAATCATATGCATTCACGTCTGTCTGCCTCCCATCATATGTTCGTGCGTTGCATGCGTGGTGTGAGCGTGTGCAAGAATTTGTGTTTGATGTGGTTTGATTTTTCTGAGTGTGTGTGTATGTTATTTGGCTTGAGCAGATATCTGAAGTGACTCCTCTGCTCAAGAGCTTTCCGACGAACCAAGTATCGCTTCAATCGGAGCACGAACAAGAAAGCTAGGAACGTTGGAGTTCGTATGCTTTTGATATTTGGTTGTGGTGACTATGGGAAGTTGTGGGGTTGACTCAATATGGGGTACAGACTTTTGGGGGTTGGGAAATTCGTCAACATCACTGTAGATGCTGCCAAGTGGTTGGGAGAAACCAAACCAGGTTGGCAAGTGCGGCCAAGTTGGGTTAAGGTGGATGGCATGGGTTGGGAAAGTGACAAAAGTGAAAGTGGGGTTGCCTATGGAGAGGGGAATTGTGTGGCATGGGGTTTCCTTGGTTGGGGACTGTCTTGGGACCTTCCCTCTCGTCCTCCTCATCCCATCCCACCTGGTTTATTGCTACTCTAACTCTCTTGTGTAGTAATTGTGAACTTGTGTGAGAACTTTGTGATTGAGTTTAGATTCTATGGCAGCATACCCCCTAGTGCACCAAAATTGATAACTCAAGAAATACTTCATTTTTTCGTATGATTCAACTTGGAAATTGTAGCCACGGACTAGCGCTACAACATATCTAAGTTTGGTGAAGTTTTAACAGTGCACCTTTTGTTGACGGCGTTTCTTGTGAAGTCGACGTTTCTGTCCAGAATTCTAAGCCAACGATTTTGAGAATTTTAGCCACCTAATCTTCGTAGACTCCATCCTTAGTCTCTATCAAGGGAGGCCCTTTCACCGAGGTGGAGGGGGCGTTCGACACGTCACCCGGGTCGAGCGCGAACCGAAACGGGCTCTTTCAGGCGAGTGCGGTTCAGCGCGGCGTGGATGGGCGCCGCTTCCGTCAGCTTGCGAAATTTCGCGGACGGGTTCCGTTGGCGAGGCTACGCCTGGCGAGGGTTCCGTCGATTACCGGACGGAACCCGTCTACGAACCGAGCGTGGGGTTGGGCTCGGTTGGGGGGGGACCACTGCCAGCTCGAGGGCGCGGGCTGCTGGCGTCACGCGCAGCTGGCGCCAGCTGGGGGTGCCCATTTTCGGGTGGGAGGGGGGGGTTGGCTCCTGCCCCTCGCGTGCCCCGCCACGCGACAGCGGGAAAACCAAAATCCCTCCGAGGAAAACCCGCAGGGGCAAACGGGTTTTCGCGGAGGGATTCGGGCGAGGTCTTCCCACGCGATTAGAATGGAGAGCATGAATGAGGGTTGCACTATCGCGGTCAGGAATCCAAGCTGGGACGAAAAATGATGGAAACGCCGAGGTTTGGGAAGTATTGAGCCGAGGCGTGTGGCTCACTCACCAATCCCGCACCTTCCCGCCAGCCGGCCACTCGCATCAGGCATTCTGCCGGTCAGGTTGGGCCCAGAACGACGCTATCCGAGCCACTCCTGTTTCCGCGATGAGTGGACAAGAATGATGTCCGTGTCTCGCTCGCCCCATAGCACCTCTCTGGAACTCACAGCAAACCCTTGTTCTGCGCAAAGCCGATCTGTAATGTAGATGGACCTTGCTGCAAGCTGCTAGTGCACGGGAGGACAAAGCGAGATGTTTCGATCAACATTCAGGGTCTCTGAGAGAGCTCAGAGATTGGACTCGCGGCATACAGAGACTACGTACTAGTAGATGCCTCAGTCGAGAACCTTAGACCAGAAATCCTAGTCCAGTTTGGCCCTTTGCAGCATGTCATCCCTAGCGTTGTCGTCCCGTAGTAAGAAATCGTCGTGCGTGTCGCTCGATCACTAGCCGGACGACCTCCTATGTACTGTCCTTCGCCAGCTGGAAAAGTATTCGAGTAGCGACTTTAGCCACGCGTTGGTCTCGAAGCGATGGTATCGCGTTGCCTGTCTTGCGCGGATGTCAATCTCCGTCAGCCGCTCGATTTTATCCGTCGATTTTATCCGATCTCTTCTGCGGTTTAAGAATCTGACGTCCGTAACTATCAGAGGATCCAGTTTCACTGATGCCGACTATGCTCTCCTCGCTGGACTTGGTTCCACCTGTCCCAATCTGACGCGTCTTGCCCTCTATGATAATAGCTACCATTGTTCCCATGTAACGTCGAGTTCGAGGCTGGATTCACTGTTTTTCGGCTGCACGGCGCTGCATAGCTTGGTCATCGACATTCTGATGAGATTGAACGGATGCCGTCATCTTTCTTCGGCTTGTCTTTCTTGACGGACGTCAAGCTCAAATTCTGCCTGAGAGATTTCCCGGATGAATTTGGTGGGCTCATATCCCTCACAAAACTGAAACTGCAGCAGTTGTTTATCAAAGATCTACCCGAGTCTTTTGGCCAGCTCACCGCCTTGACCGTGCTAGATATATTTGAGTGCTTAGCGCTGTACGGTCTGCCGGAATCCTTCGGCAATCTCTGCTCGTTGAAGAAGCTTACCATTTACCATTCAAGTTCGTTGGAGGTTCTCCCTGATACCCTCTGCCAGCTTCAGAATCTCGAAGAGGTTCTTTTATACGGCAATGCTTCACTTATGCAGCTCCCACTTTCCTTCAACCACCTTCCTTCTCTCAAGGTTCTCAAGCTGTGGACGTTGGCGGGTCTGAAGGAGCTTGATAACGAAGTGTCCAATTTCGTGTCTCTGGAAGAGCTCAGTATCGACACGTGCTGCCGGTTCTCTTCGATTCCTGCATCCCTCTGCACGCTCCCCAACCTTCGTTCCCTGTCGATCTCGAGCTGCAGGCTTCTTGCTCGCCTCACGTGAAGCATCGGCGATTTAACCTCACTGGAGTGTCTCGAGTTAAGCAAGCTCAGAAACGTGAAGCTTCTGCCATAAACGATTTCCAAGCTATCTAATCTTCGGTCCTTCACCCTGCTCCGTTGCAACAGCATCACCAACATCCCTGCATCTCTCTTACAGAGCTCCAGCAGACTGCAAGAGCTCAGGGTTCAGTGGCCATCTTGCTGTGCGGCAAGCCATCAGGCCGAAAATGTATCCTCTGGTGAAGTTGCTTTCATCTCTTTGGTTTGCAAGCTATCCCACCTTAAATTTGTCTATCTCTCTGGCTTTCTCCGCCTCAGTACTCTTCCCCAGGAATTCGGGGATCTCTTGCAGCTGGGTCGGTTGATACTTTCTTCCTGGCGGAGCTTGTCAGGGTTTCCGGATTCCATGTCCAAGCTGACCAAGCTATCGGCCATTGTAGTGGCTGCATGCCCAGATTTTACAGAATCTGCTGCTGCCATTCCTGGGCTCCCGAATCTGAGAATTGAGCTGACAAGCGTTAGGGATAGTGAGGATGACTGGGATTGGAAGGAGGAGAAAGAGGATGAGGATGAAGAGGATGAGGATTTTGAGGTTGAGGATGAAGAGGATGAAGATGAAGAGGATGAGGATGAAGAGGAGGAGGATGAAACGTGTTGGAAACAATTAACTCTAAGCGCCTCTGTCGTGTCGAAACACCAAGTCAGAAGCGAAACGAAGCATATCGAAGCACTGGGGAGTCAACCCTCGGAGGTTGAGCAGTTGCTGGAGGTTACGCGAAAGTCAAAGGTCAGCGACCTTTGACCTGACAAGTACAGCGCGACAGCAAGGACACACAACTGACTCGTTACAGAGCAGTTGCCCGAGTCGTCACTGTATCAAACCGCAACAGCAACAGTAAAATAGTTGGAACCGTATCTCTTCGTATTCCTTGTACTCTTATATAATCTTGTATCTCTTTGCTTTAATTAATCAACTTTGCCCTCACATACTAGCGCAAGGTGGTTCACAACTCTTCATTAAACGCTTCCGCTACTACATCAGTTCCACCCCAAGAGTTCACCCCTGCAAAGATCCTAAGGGCTGTTTCTCAGCCCAACAAAATGTTCTAAAATAAAATGTTTGTTGATACAGTGGAGGTTGCGGTTTGGGGCGCCTTACACACTGTATGCGTTTCTCAGTGTTAGGTTTTGGCTCTCAGAATGATGCAGTAGCGAGTGTGCGAGTGATGCATTTAGCGTGATAATTCTGCATACCAGTAGTTGCGACAATACTGGACGCAAAGTGGAGGAGCTAGCTAGGGTGTTGGGTTGGGTGGCTCAGTCCTGAGAATTGATGATCTAGTATGGTGAAAACACAAATTTGAGAACCAGAAAAATCTATGTGATCAAGTCCTGTATGGTACCACTATTTTCAGCCACAAGGACCAAGGACTAGCCAAGGGTGACGCCTGAGCCGATCACGATTAGTACTAGTACATGCCTCTCCCCCATCAATGTACTTCAACATACAGCTACGGTAGTTACGGCACAAACACATAGCATGTATGGTAGCTGCATCATAGTACAGTTTAACTCTCCAAAACTACCCATGTGTACCATACAACAGCAACAATACTGTAAGCATAACACAGCCGAGGATATGGTCAGCCAGCCATCACTGGTATCATGGCATGGCATGGCACAATACGGTACAAGCATGGCTGCTCCACCTACCGTGACAAACCCAGATGCTGCCCAGGAAAATGCTCCGGGCCAGCCCACAAATCTTAGGATGCAGGCAGTCACATAAGAGCTTGCTCCGGGGACAGATGCACGTTATGGCGGTTACCTGGTAACCAACCACACAGTGCCTTGAGACGCTTCAAAACTTGGTTCCAGAAGAGGCTGTCCAGGAAGCGGCTGCACTCTGGGGAGGTTACCTGGTAACCACCCACTGTCAGTGTCGGTGATGCTGGTCTGCATGAAGCTGCAGCAGCATGAGTTGGTTCCGAACAAACCTGCGGGTGAAGAGAGGCGACGAGGGAGGGGGATGGGGTGAAGTGGGGGAGCAGGAGGGTGAGGATTGGGGTAGGAAGGGCCGTCGCAGTATGCATTGGTTCTGAATAGGTGAAGAGTGGAAGGAAGGGGGGTTGGGGAGGAAGTGCGGAAGAAGAGGGGTGAAGCAGGCGGGGAAGCAGAGGGTGAGGTGAGGACTGGGATAGGAAGGGCCGTCGCAGCATGCATTGGGACTGTGGTGGCATGCGCTGCACTGGGATGCAGCGCCTGCCGCCACAGCAGCAGCAGGCAGCCGAGGAAGGGGGGCTTCAATCAGCAAGAACCGCCACGTTTCGAGTCGACTCTAAACTCGCTCACAAGCCCCCCCCCTCCACCCCCACCTCTTCCCCCCCCTTGGACTGCCGGATGTGGTGCCTTCCACGCCACCGCAGCAGGCAGCCAAACGGGGGAAGGAGGGGGTTGCGAACAGCGAGAAGCTAAGGGCTTTCAGTCAACTCTAAACTCGCTTACGCCCTCCCTCCCCCCCCCCCCTGCTTCACTGCTTCTCTGCTGGCTGCAGCGCCTTTCCCCCCATAGCCTCCCATTCCACCGCCACTACTCGCCACCTCCACCAACCTCCCTGCCTCCACCTCTGCCTCACACCGTGCCCGCCCCACTGCTTCACCCGCCCCACTGCTCCACCCGCCCCACTGCTCCACCCGCCCCACTGCTCCACCCGCCTTACTGCTCCACCCGCCCCACTGCTCCACCCGCCGCTTCCCCACCCTCATCCCTTGCCGCCTCATCCGCCACTCGCCCCATGCGTGCTTCACATCCCTGCGGTTTCCCATCGCCCCAGTCCCAGCCGCATCATCAGCATCAGCTGCAGCAAGCTTTTCCTTCTCCTCCAACCTCCTTCTCCTCCAACCTCCTTCTCCTCCAACCTCCTCCTCCTCCTTTGTCTCCTCGCCTCACCCACCTCCCTGCCCCTCCTCGCCTTGCTCTTCCCTCTCGCTGCAGTCTCCTCCACTCCTCTTATCAACACACCCCCTTCTCTTCAGACACCACCCCCACCTTTCCTCCTCCACCTTTCCTTTTCCTGCCTCCTCACCCCTCCCGTCCGCATGCCCGCACACCCACACCCTCCCCATCCTTCGCCTTCTCCCCTGCTCTTGCTACCTGTCCAACCCCTCTCGCCTCTGCCCCGTCGCCTATGTTCTCCTCACCCCTGTCCCCGCTCAGTACGTCACCAGGGCCCACCACGCTCGCAGTAATACCAGCAGGGGCAGCATCAGGAGAGGTGGCAGTGGCACGAGAAGGAACTCGTTTTGAGACGTCTCAAAACGAGGTGGCAGTGGCACGAGAAGGAACGCTCAAGGCGAGGCTGCTGGCGGGGCAGGGGGGAGGGCTGGCAGGCAGAGGCGAGTAGGGTTGGCTGGCGAGGAGGGCCGCACAGGCGGAGTGGCAGGGCTGGTGGCTTGACTGGTCTGGTCCGGGAGAGAGAGGTGACTTTTTTGAGTCGACTCAAAAGTCACTTTTGAGTGGACTCAAAAGGGCAGGGGGGAGGGCTGGCAGGCAGAGGCGGCGAGGAGGGCCGCACAGGCGGAGTGGCGGGGCTGGTGGCTTGACTGGTCTGGTCTGGAAAGACGCAGGATACGGTCCTGATGATGATTCCCCTGGGGGTGTTGGGAGGGGACGAGGAGGGGGGGCGGGTGGCGTGGCACTCAACATGGCAAGCAGCCAAGGCAAACAGGGGGAGTCTCCCAACAGCAAGAACTACCTTTGCTTGGAAGTCAGAACAGCAATATACAAACAACGCCGCCCAGCCCAGTAGGCTTGGTTCAGCCCGAGCAAAGCAAGCCCCACAGCCGAAGCAAACGCCTGCACTTGGCTTCACTTCACTTCCCATCCTCCTGCGGGCTGCAGGGAGCATCGGGAGGGAGTGTCATCTCATCTCGTCGTTCTTCTTCCAAAAGTCAAGGACACCTCGTCGCCAAAGAAGAGGACAAAGCAGTCGTTTGTGCCCAGGCCGAGCCGGCTGTGGTGGAGCAAGACGGAGGGGTGGGGTGGGGTGGGACAGGCAGGCTGGGGTCGAGTCAGTACCGGCTGTGGTCTTGGGGTCAAACCATGGGAGCTGCTCGGATGCTCGCAAGGCGAGGAGCCACGTGTAAACAGAGATGTTTTGAGATGTCTCAAAACATCTCTGTTTTACACGTGGCAGGCTGCTGGGGTCAGTACCGGCTGTGGTCTTGGGGTCAAACCATGGAAGCTGCTCGGATTCTCGCAAGGCGAGGAGGTTCTGTTAGGAGGGAAGAGCACACGGAGTGAGGGAAGCATGGATAAGAGAGAACAGAGAGGGGAGTTGGGACAAAGGGAGAGAGAGAGAAAGAGAGGCAGAAAGGGTTTTGAACCAGACCTGACCGGAAGCGACCGTTCTAAACCAACGTCCCCAAACGTACGCTATGAACCTGCATCCCCGAACCTGCACCCCCGAACCTACCAGAGGTCCCGGTCCTGCAGCTGCATGGCGAGCATGCCAGCTGTCACGTCCCCATAGGCCGTAAACCCGTCACTTGATCTGCCATGCTGCTACCTGGCGGTTCAAAACCCCAGGGCGGAATGAGGGGAACGGAATAGGGGTTGAGAAAAAACGAATACGTGAAATCGAGGACATGAGGATGCGACTGTCATGACAGGTCACAGAAACATGCTATGTTTAGTGAAAACGCGAATATGAGGAACCCCATTCTCATTTCGAAATACGGACATGACGGTTAAAAACCTACTCACGGCCCATCAAGCTCTCCCCCGCCACTCCTCGCATGACACTCACAAGAACGGTAACGAATCACGAATCGCACTAATAGCGGGGATACCCTACACCTTTTACCTACCCGGCGGGTCGATATGGAAGGAGATGGATTTGCGGCGAGTGGCGGCGGGGCCAGCAGGTTCCGCCTCACCGCCTCTTATTCCTCTTCGACGCGATAATAAGAAATAACAACATAGCTACCCGGTCGATCCAGAAGGGATATGGACACGCGCGTCGCGGCGGGGCCCAGCAGACTCGCACGCACCGCCTCCCACTCCTTCCAAAACGCATATGGCATGTGGCGCAGCGCCAGGTACATTATTCTACCGCGTAACGACAACGCGATTGTAAAGGAATCCCGTTTCAACGAATGCTGTTGTTGTGTAATGATCTGCTTTGGGAATCGCGATGCTGGTAGCGGGTGGCCGCAGGTAATCTAATCGAATCTGCTAAGAACTTCTGAGCCACATGGACTAGTACCAGAGGAAAAGACGGTACAAATGATGCCCAACCCGTGCACGCGAATTTGCCCTGCACCAGATGGAAACTCTGCACCCGAGGTTTTTTTCCTAGCCAGTTGCACGCTCTTTACAAGCACGTCGCGCAAGTTGCAGTTGTTATGAACCAATAGTAACGAACAGACCGATTCCATACTGAAGAGACTGATGAGACTGAAGAGACTGATAGGTTACAAACATTTTTATAAGCACCTGAAGAATCCTTTTTTGCTAGCTGCTAATTAAAGCCCAAGACCTGAACTACAAAAAAAAAAAAGGCAAACTGTGCACACTTTGCCTCCCGAACCCAAAGTTGACCTCCCGAGCCAGGATGGTAACCAGAAAACGTCGCATCCCAAGAAGACTGAGTCGTAGAGCAGAACGCGTCCGCTTGGCGAGAGTTCCAACCACCCTTTCCTGAAGGAGGAAGGGAACTGCCTGTGCACAGTTTGCCGAACAATGGTAATTCATGAATGCTTGTGCGGCTATTACGCGAAACGCAAAGCTCTGTCAGCGGCATAGGCAGGACCTTCAACCCCGTTGCAACACTTGCTTTGCCCTCATCCCAAGATTGACATGCGCGAAGCGTGTCCTTTTTCCACGTCGAAATTAGTGCCGTGAAAGGTAATTTAGCTATCCCCTCACATCGTCCACCCCCTTGACGCACCGTCGCCCTCGCATCCCCCGTTTCCCCGTCGCCCTTGCCCTCCCAACGCCCTTACCCCGGTCCCCTCTCGTCGATTTCTTGTCAACGTCGTGGGGCCACATTCCGACGCTTCGTACACCACTCCGCGCTCCTCTCGCCTCACGGCGCGCGCTCCTCTCGCCTCCCCGCGCGCGCTTCTCTCGCCTCCCCACGCGCGCTCCTCTCGCCTCCCCGCGCGCGCTCCTCTCGCCTCCCCGCATGCGCGGCTCTCGCCTCCCCGCGCGCGCTCCTCTCGCCTCCCCGCGCGCGCTCCTCACGCCTCCCCGCGCGCGCTTCTCTCGCCTCCCCGCGCGCGCTCCTCTCGCCTCCCCGCGCGCGCTCCTTTCGCCTCCAGCGCCGCATCTTCCCGCCTCCCCGCGCGCGCTTCTCTTGCCTCCCCGCGCGGCCTCCTCTCACCATCGCCAGCGTGCTCTGCTCGCCATGGCCTCGCGTGCTCCTCTCGCCTTGATAGCGCGCGATTCTGTCGCCTCCCCGCGTGGCCTCCTCTCACCATCCCGCGCGTGCTCCTCTCGCCTCCCCTCTTATGAGAGGCGAGCCTTTATAGCGCGCGCTTCACTTGCCTCCCCGCGCGGCCTCCTCTCACCTCCCCGCGCATCCTCCTCTCGCCGCCTCACGCGTGCTTCTCTCGCCTCCCCGCGCGAACTCCTCTCGCCTCCCCTCGTGTGCACCTCTCACCCCCCCTCTACCGCCCCTCTTGCCTCCCCGTGCAGCCTCCTCTCACCTCCCTGCGCGTGCTCCACTCGCCTCCCCTCGCGTGGTCCTCTCACCTCACCTTGTGTGCTCCTCTCGCCCCCCCACGCGTGCTCCTCTCTCCTCATCTTGCGTGCTCCTCTCGCCTCCCCACGCGTGCCCCTCTAAGATGCGTGAGGGGCTTCACCTCCCGTATCCTCACTGCCTCTCTGCGTCTCGCGACAGCCTCTGTTCGCGTCGCTGATCGCAAATATTGCCCTTGGCCCCTGCTCACACTCTTGCAACGGCTGTGCTTCCGCATCCCCTCTGCACGCCCTCTTTCCCCCTCTTCCACGCCCTCATTTCCCACCCTGCTTGCCCACGTTTCCCCACCTTGCAGTCCCTCACAAGCCCTCAGTGCAGGCCCTCTCGCCTCCCGTGCTCCACTCTGGAATGTGGGACGCTCCTCTCTCCTCACCTCCCGTGCTCCCCTCTGACAGGTGGGGTGCTCCTCTCTCCTCACCTCCCGTGGTCCACTCTGACAGGGCATGGTGCTCCTCTCCTCTCGCCTCCCGTGCTCCACTCTGAAATGTGGGACGCTCCTCTCTCCTCACCTCCCGTGCTCCCCTCTGACAGGTGGGGTGCTCCTCTCTCCTCACCTCCCGTGGTCCACTCTGACAGGGCATGGTGCTCCTCTCCTCTCGCCTCCCGTGCTCCACTCTGGAATGTGGGACGCTCCTCTCTCCTCACCTCCCGTGCTCCCCTCTGACAGGGGGGTGCTCCTCTCTCCTCACCTCCCGTGCTCCCCTCTGACAGGTGGGGTGCTCCTCTCTCCTCACCTCCCGTGGTCCACTCTGACAGGGCATGGTACTCCTCTCCTCTCGCCTGCAGTGCTCCACTCTGGAACGTGGGACGCTCCTCTCTCCTCACCTCCCGTGCTCCACTCTGGAATATGGGAAGCTCCTCTCTCCTCACCTCCCGTGCTCCCCTCTGACAGGTGGGGTGCTCCTCTCTCCTCACCTCCCGTGCTCCCCTCTGACAGGTGGGGTGCTCCTCTCTCCTCACCTCCCGTGGTCCACTCTGACAGGGCATGGTGCTCCTCTCCTCTCGCCTCCCGTGCTCCACTCTGGAATGTGGGACGCTCCTCTCTCCTCACCTACCGTGCTCCCCTCTGACAGGGGGGTGCTCCTCTCTCCTCACCTCCCGTGCTCCCCTCTGACAGGTGGGGTGCTCCTCTCTCCTCACCTCCCGTGGTCCACTCTGACAGGGCATGGTGCTCCTCTCCTCTCGCCTCCCGTGCTCCACTCTGGAATGTGGGACGCTCCTCTCTCCTCACCTCCCGTGCTCCCCTCTGACAGGGGGGTGCTCCTCTCTCCTCACCTCCCGTGCTCCCCTCTGACAGGTGGGGTGCTCCTCTCTCCTCACCTCCCGTGGTCTACTCTGACAGGGCATGGTGCTCCTCTCCTCTCGCCTCCCGTGCTCCACTCTGGAATGTGGGACTCTCCTCTCTCCTCACCTCCCGTGCTCCCCTCTGACAGGGGGGTGCTCCTCTCTCCTCACCTCCCGTGCTCCACTCTGGAATGTGGGACGCTCCTCTCTCCTCACCTCCCGTGCTCCCCTCTGACAGGTGGGGTGCTCCTCTCTCCTCACCTCCCGTGGTCCACTCTGACAGGGCATGGTGCTCCTCTCGTCTCGCCTCCCGTGCTCCACTCTGGAATGTGGGACGCTCCTCTCTCCTCACCTCCCGTGCTCCCCTCTGACAGGGGGATGCTCCTCTCTCCTCACCTCCCGTGCTCCCCTCTGACAGGTGGGGTGCTCCTCTCTCCTCACCTCCCGTGGTCCACTCTGACAGGGCATGGTGCTCCTCTCCTCTCGCCTCCCGTGCTCCACTCTGGAATGTGGGACGCTCCTCTCTCCTCACCTCCCGTGCTCCCCTCTGACAGGGGGGTGCTCCTCTCTCCTCACCTCCCGTGCTCCCCCCTGACAGGTGGGGTGCTCCTCTCTCCTAACCTCCCGTGGTCCACTCTGACAGGGCATGGTGCTCCTCTCCTCTCGCCTCCCGTGCTCCACTCTGGAATGTGGGACGCTCCTCTCTCCTCACCTCCCGTGCTCCCCTCTGACAGGTGGGGTGCTCCTCTCTCCTCACCTCCCGTGCTCCCCTCTGACAGGTGGGGTGGTCCTCTCTCCTCGCCTCCCGTGCCCCACTCTGACAGGGCAGGGTGCTTCCGGACCTGTTGTTTAGTGCCTGACCTGCCCACCCTCCCCTACACAGCCAACTCAATTCAATGACCTGCGTAATCGGATAGTTCCCCCCCCCCCCCCCCCCCCCCCCCCCCTCCCCCCTCCCAACCCATTCACTCCCTAACCCCTCCCTCTCCCTTGTTGTTTTCTGCCTGATGTTCCCTTTTCTCACCCTCTAAACCAGTCCACCTCATCAGCCATGTCTTCGTGGAGACGTACTCCTCGGAGACGGCTGACGCTTGGATTCAGGGTTGGGGAGGAGGGTTCCGAGGATGATGAGGAGGAGAGGGGTCGGCGACGTGGACCGGAGTCGATGTTCACGGCAAGTACGGGCACCCTTTCAGCCCATACTCGTTCGGTTGCCGCGAGCACAACACGTCCCTTTCCCAGGGTTCGAGCTCGAAGAGTTGTGCAGCCAACGGGCTTGCCCCCGCAGGTTCAAAAGCCGAAAGAACGGTGGGGAATATCTGAGTTTGAGGAGCGATATGCCAAGCAGCATCGTGTGCTTGACGCTTGGGCGCGACATTGGCTCGGATTGTCGGATGAGGAGGGCCCAGGGAGTCAGGGAATTAGTGTGGGGAGCATTCTGATGGTGTGCTTGGGAAAAAACACGGAAGAGGATTCTCAAGGTCACCCTATGGAGATTGATTTTGGGATGAGGTCAAACGATGCTAGGTCAATTGTCAATGTGGCCACGCAAGAGTCTGGAATTTATTGATTGTTAGCAAGGGAGAGATGGTTATCGGGTACGATTTACACTGTACATGTGTTCCTCTTTTTACACAGACTGCAATAGTTTGACATGTGGTTGGATGACCATCCAGCTATGATGGATAGATCAATGAAGAAGCCCTAGGTATGTTATTTGATGGGGAAGGACATGTTTCACTTCTTAGCTTCTAGCCATCGGGGAGCGCGTTGCGTCATTTGCCTCCACTACTTGTGAAAAAACGGCATGCTCACGTGCACGGTATTAGTGTGAGGCAAGCACACGCTTAGAGTTACACGTGAACACGTGTAGGTGCAGTGATGAATGGGGCTGATGGTGACTTGGCTGATGTCCAACGCTGCTTGCCCTAGCCCTTGCGGATCTGAGCACAAAGAGAGGCGGGAGGGTCGAGACAGGTGGAGAAACAAGTACACAAAAAGTGGAGAGGTGGAGAGAGGTACTACGGAAACAAGTTTACAAAAAGTGGTGCGTAGTGCATGTATCAGGCCAAACAGAGTGTGTCTCAGTGTAGTGCATGTGGGGCGGACAGAGCAGCCACGGCGAGCGGAACGTGCACTACGGACAGCATGAACAATGCAGAGCAGACAGTGCAATGACTCACCTCCCGTGTGAGGTCTCGGCCACTCTCTTCACAGATATGCAGCATGCTCTCCGTTGGCTGACATGTAGGGGGGGATAGGAATGTGGGACAGGAGAGAGGATGGGATAGGCAAGGGAGGGGAACGGGACTGAACCAGTATTGGGAGCTGGACAAGGGGAAGGGGATGGGGCGGGGGGCGGGACGGGAAAAAGGGGGAGAGGGAATGGGTGAGAGGGGAGACGATAGTGGGGGAGGGTAACGTTTTGGTTGACCGGGCTGAAGGATTAAGTCTCTTGGGTGTTTCACAACGCCTGCTCGCAGCAACCCCTGGCAAGTAGACCTAGTTGGGGGAGAAGGGCAGAAGTGATGTGTACCTGATGAAATTGAGGGGAGGGGGGCAGGAAGGGCAGATGTGAGGAAGGGCGGATGAGAGGAAGGGCGGATGTGAGGAAGGGCGGATGAGAGGAAGGGCGGATGTGAGGAAGGGCGGATGTGGGGTTGGGAGGATGACAGGAAAGGAGGATAAGAGGAAAGGAGGACGAGGGGAACAGAGGATGAGATGAAGGGCGGATGTGGGGAAGGGAGGATGAGATGAAGGGCGGATGTGGGGAAGGGAGGATGAGATGAAGGGCGGATGTGGGGAAGGGAGGATGAGATGAAGGGCGGATGAGGGGGTGGGAGGACGAGAAGACGGGTGGACAAGAGGAAGGGTGGATGATAGGGAGGACGGATGAGGAGGAGGGGGCGGAAGTAGGGGAGAGAGGACGAGAGGAAGGGAGGACGTGAGGAAGGGCGGATGAGAGGAAAGGAGGACGTGAGGAAGGGGGGATGAGAGGGAAGGAGGACGAGAGGAAGGGGGGAAGAGGGGAACAGAGGATGAGATGAAGGGCGGATGGGGGGAAGGGAGGATGGGATGAAGGGCGGATGAGGGGGAGGGCGGATGATGGGGAGGGAGGACGAGAAGAAGGGTGGATGAGAGAAAGGAGGATGTGAGGGAGAGACGATAAGAAGGTGAGAGGATGAGAGTGTGAAGGGCGGATGTGAGGAAGGGCGGATGAGAGGAAGGGCGGATGAGAGGGAAGGAGGATGAGAGGAAGGGAGGATGAGAGGAATGGAAGGGGAGAGGAAGGGAGGATGAGAGAAAGGGAGTATGAGAGAATGAGAGAATGAGAAGGAGAGAGGATGGGAGAGAAGGGCGGATGAGAGGAAGTGCGGATGTGGGGATGGGAGGATGACAGGAAAGGAAGATGAGAGGAAAGGAGGATGAGAGGAGGGGGATGAGAGGAAGGGAGGACGAGGGGAACAGAGGATGAGATGAAGGGCGGATGTGGGGAAGGGAGGATGAGAGGAAGGGGGGATGAGAGGAAGGGGGGATGAGAGGGAGGTTGGATGAGAGGCCGCGCGGATGAGGGGAAGGGAGGATGAGATGAAGGGCGGATGAGGGGGAGGACGGATGAGGGGGAGGGAGGACGAGAAGAAGGGTGGACGAGGGAAAGGAGGAAGAGAGGGAGAGACGATGAGATGGAGAGAGGATGAGAGCGCGAAGGGCGGATGAGAGGAAGGGCGGATGAGAGGAAGGGCGGATGAGAGGGAAGGAGGATGAGAGGAATGGAAGGGGAGGAAGGGAGGATGAGAGAAAGGGAGTATGAGAAGGAGAGAGGATGGGAGAGAAGGGCGGATGAGAGGAAGGGCGGATGAGAGGAAGGGCGGATGTGGGGATGGGAGGATGACAGGAAAGGGAGATGAGTGGAAAGGAGGATGAGAGGAGGGGGGGATGAGAGGAAGGGAGGACGAGAGAAAGGGAGTATGAGAAGGAGAGAGGATGGGAGAGAAGGAGGAAGGGTGGATGAGAGGAAGGGCAGATGCGAGGAAGGAAGCAGGGCAGGAGGATGCGAGGAAGGGTGGACGCGAGGAATGGTGGATGATAGGGATGGCGGATGAGGGGGGGGGGGGGGGCTGAAGTAGGGGAGGGAATATGAGTTGAGGGGAGCACGAGATGAAGGGCGAATGAGAGGGAGAGACGATGAGAAGGAGAGAGGATGAGAGCCTGAAGGGCGGATGAGAGGAAGGGCGGATGAGAGGAAGGGCGGATGAGAGGAGAGGAGGATGAGAGGGAGGTTGTATGAGAGGAGAGGAGGATGAGAGGGAGGTTGTATGAGAGGAAAGGAGGATGAGAGGAAGGGGGGATGCGAGGAAGGTTGGATGAGAGAAGGGAGGATGAGATGAAGGGCGGATGAGGGGGAGGCTGGATGAGGGGGAGGGAGGACGAGAAGAAGGGTGGATGAGAGGGAGGGTGGACGAGGGGGAGGGCGGATGAGGTGGAGGGCGGATGAGGGCGCGTGGCGAAAGAAGGGTAGGGAGGACGAGTGGAAATGAGGACGATATGAGGGGCGGATAAGAGGGAGAGAGGATGTGAGAGAAGGGCGGACGAGAGGAAGGGCGGATGAGAGGAAGGGAGGATGGAGGGAATTGTGAGCGACAGGTAGCGAAATGTGGGCGATGGGGAGGGAAACGAGGGCGACGAGAGGGGAAATGAGGGCTACGGGAAGGGAAATGTGGGCGATGAGAGGGGAAATGAGGGCGCAGGGAAGGGAAATGTGGGCGACGGGGAAGGAAATGAGTGCGACGGGAAGGGAATTTAGTGCGACGGGCAGGGAAACGAGGGCGACGGGGTGGAAATGTGTGAGAGGGGACGGGAAATTAGTGCGACGGGAAGGGTAATGTGGGCGACGGGAAGGGAAACGAGGGCGACGGGAAGGGAACATCGCGAAAAAACCAAGCACATAAAGTTGCTTCCCTGCAGCTTCAAAGTTGCTTTTCCGCAACTTTTGTTTCGCAAAAAAAAAGTCTAGGTCAAAGGCTTCTGGGTCAGGGTTACAGGGAAAGTGGTTTTCCCGCAACTTTCCCGCAGCTTTTTAGCAACGTTTCCGGCAACATGGCCGCAACCCGCACGGCGTCATGTGGGTCGCTTCTACGTCATGTAGCTGCCAGTGACATTTGCGTCACCATGCGGACACTCCACGGTTACACCTGTGTGTTGCCACATAGCTGCCGATTAGCATACATGAAGTCACTTCCACGTCAGCATAATATTTACACGTGTAATCACGCTTTATGACAGGTGGATGCAAAACCATAACGAATCGTATCGTGCTGCATGTACGGTCGAGATGGCCACAGTTGTACGCACGCGATTGTCGCGTGGCAACTCCGCTATGCCAACCGCAGCACGGCACATGGCCGCACCGGATACGCCGACAACCTCCAGATCTCACACCCATACGCCTCATCTCTACCGTCCGTCCGATATAAATGTCATCCCACGATTTGTAGTGGAATCCACCTGTACCTACACACGCCGTCCGTTCGGTGATAGGGTTTTCCAACTAGGACAACTGATACCAATCGCACGTTCACACGTAATCGTCGCAGATCTCACGATAACACACCAGTGACCATATCCATCACACACGTGGCAAATAGCCATTAGACACCGTCGTCGGGAAAAAAAAAAAAGCCGCGTTTCATTGATGAGCGGTTCGGCAGATTGTACGGTTGCCCTCTATCCACGTCGCTAGACTAGCGTGACATCTAACGGCTCCTATTTACCCCGCCGCATTTGTCGCCGCGATTAGCGCCGCATTTGTTGCCGTACTGCGCGGAATGCAGAGAGTTGCGTTTCAACCATCCTCGTGTCCAACATGCACAAGGTCTCCGCTAGGTGTGCAATATCCAACATATATGTCACCGATTTACTGCACAAATGCACTGAACCAACAACAACCACAACGTGTCCCCACTAAACCACTACACTAGTCTACGACACACAATTGGATTAAACACACTATCAGGACGTCAACCATCTGTTTCACTATCCGATGCTTCCGACGCGGAGGACTCATGTTTTTCGTCTTCGGAGGCTGCTTCATCTTCCAGGAGGCATTCCAGGCCGCAAGATGAAAGGCGGAGCCCATGCCTGCCCCACTTCCAGGACTTCTTCTCCTCGTCGTAGGGCACTTCATTCCGGCATACTGCATCCGCAATGGCATCGAAGGCCAGCTTCTGAATCCTCCGCACAGAAGCGCCATTCTCGCACGGAGAGTTGTGCAGTTTCCCCTTGCGCTTCTCCCAGTTGATTATGGCGTCTGTGATCTGCGAAGGCAGGAGAAGCCCATTTACAACGGCGAGTTGAAGGAAAGTGGCTACAACATATGTTCGCATCGGTGTAAACGTACAAGGTGCTCGAGCCACGACAGGTGGTACAGCTTTATAGTTGTTTCTTTGTCCTTCCGCTTCCCTCCGAAAGCCGCGATGGCACATGCCGCGAACGCTCCGGATGCAAATGGCAGTCCATCCTTGCTGATGTGCCACTTGCACAAGGTCGGGTCCCCTGCGCACGTGGAATGCAAAATGGGTACAACGATACCGCGTACGGAAAAAGGGGAGGGTTCAAAGACATGTCTGGTCCACTATGGCACGACACAGGAGTTGCGGCCATAATCGCTCCGGCCATATGACAAGCGAACACGCACCATCGTCTGGGACGGGGACGCAATATCTCTTTCGGGCACGCTCCCCAGTGCGCTCCGTCTTACGTGCCCAAGGACTGGCCCTGTCCTCGTCGTCACGGAAAAGACCAATTCGTGGAAGAAAAACTCCGCGAGCGCGTCCGGCCAACCCTGTTTTGTACTCGGACAAGGTCTTGTTCAGATCCTGCCGTCGAGCCTTATCAACGTCAAACGCCAGAGTCGCAGTTTTGGGAAAAATGGTGGACACGACATGGCATAGGCCCGCGTTTTTGGCGTCGCGACTCGGATAGGAGTCCATCTTCTCGTTCGGGGCTTCTACAAACAGATAATCCTTAACCATGTCGCAAACACCCTGCGACATTGAAAATAGTTGTACGGGGGGGGGGGGAAACGGTGACGACATATGTAGTGTATCCAACAACTGTGCCTCGACGTGAGCAGAACACACTATGCGAGGCCTCACCTTCCAAGCCTTATCCGCTGGAAGGATGTCAAGGGCGGTTTGGAGCACTGGCGACTTGTCGTGACGCGCGTGCCGTGCCACTTTCGCCGGCAAGTCGTCCTCATAGCACGTGGATTCTTCGTCATCATCTGACTGGCGTTTCCGCTTCAAAGCTTCCCGGCCTAGCGAAGCTGCGGCACTTGTGGACGCCCGCTTGCGCTTACGCCGTTCGCCAAGGCGGATGATGGTCAGTACGTGTGACTCAAGACGAGCCAGTGTCTTCGCGGTATCATTATGGGAATCACGCAACGCATCAAATTCCTCGCGTGTGACGTGGCCATCGGCTGCATCTATCCGCTTCCTCGAATGTGGCGCTTTTGTGGCCTGCTCCTCCTCTGATCCGTTCTCGCCACACGGATCGTTGCTTGACGACTGACCACCACCGTTTCCTTCCTCGTCGTCCTCATCTTCGCCTTCCATTAACTCGTCTATCAGGCGTTCCTTCACAGCCTCGGTGTCCTCCTCCCCTTGCGGTGCGTTGGCGACAATGGGCGTGCAGGCTGCCTCCGCGTCGACGGCCCCGACAGCGTTGGCGCTGCATATCTGCAGCGGCACTTCTCGAGTCTTTGTGACCAGTTCCGTGGTAGGTAGAAGGGTGTGTAGTTTGCGTGCGCATACGGCATATATCACCACAGACAGGCATTAGCACTGGTACATGAAATGCAACGTACTTGTCACGTCACAAATGTTACCTTCGTCATGCCCCGCGTTCTTATCCGCCGCGCCACATTTTCCTCAGCTTGTTTTACGCCTCTTGGGTTCCGCTAGGGGTCGTCCTTTCTTCTTCCGCTCCCCGTATTCATATGAATCAGCTAACCATGATGGCGCAGTCTTCGCCCGCTTGGAACGACCGCCGTCGGTGGGAGTCTTATCGACCTCTAGCGGAGACAGCATCTCAGACCGCATACACAGCGGGTTCGAAATGGCGTAGCTCTAAACCACCCCGGGGTTCTACCCTCGCTCGCAACAGTCCCCTTACCACTCTCGTGTACATCGCAATGCTCGATAACGGAGTTTGTCACCGCACTAGTTGCCTCACGCTCTTGGCCACGCGCACAATTCTACACATGTCACGGTTAGAGTGGCCAGTTTGATTACAGACAATTGTCAGCCACACTTTCCGCATGTAACATGTCGCCGTGCCAGGATTGTCACATCGTCGATGCTCGTCCACGTTTCTGACAGATGCGTTACTCCAATTATACACCCACCTTTTTCACCATTTGCTACTACCCCCAACCGTGGTTACAGTTTCAAGATATGCATCGTTTAAGAGTTCTTTGTCATATATTTACATCTCCTGGATATGGACAGTTCAAAACCGTGGTAGATGCGATGCTTACATTTCCAGATTCGGCTACCCGCCACCAGGTCTAAGTCCTATCAGTATGAGCACACAACTAGAACAACCCCTGGTCCAATGGCCACCCTGTTTAGTGCTTCATGCAACACCCTGTGCACGGTTGACATCCTCCCATCCATCATCTTCGTCGAAAGTATCGTTTCCAGGCTCATACACAGCATCATCGTCAACGGACTCATCGTCATCCGTGTAGTCCTCTGTTCGGTCCTCTGGCTCTTCAGCCATAGGCTGGTCCTCTGTAGTCTGCGTGATCGCCTCCACCTCCTCAACGTCACTAATGGCCCGGGACACTCTGCCCTTTCGCCGCGAACGGGTCTCAACCGGCTGCGCGTCGTCCAGGCCAGCCATTGCGGCTCTCCACTCCCTCCATCTGTTCCAGCGCATGTACTTCACGAGTAGCCTTAGGATCTCCTCTGTGCAGCCGGCTAAAGCCTGCCTGTCACCGTCGGATAGCTCAACCGTGCAGCTGATGCGTGAGTTCGGGCGAAGTACAACGGCTCCCGCAACATACGCGTATGACGCCTCGTCCTTGTCCTCGTACGACCCCAGACGAACCTGCTGACGGCGAGCAGATATGATCCGGACGTAGTACCTCTGCGTCTCTGCGTTCCACATAACTCCCGTTCGGCCGCTCCTTGCGACCCTTCCGGAGTTACCTGGAGCTGCGGGCACGGGAGTCTTAGCGCGGCTGCGCAAAGCCACTGCAAGATGGTCGCGCTGTTGTTGCCTGACCACAGCAGGTGTCGCGTCTCCGGCAGTAACTTGGATATCTTTCACGGCAAGTGTGTGAGGTGCAAGACAGGGAGAGATTGATGGCACTGCCGCCAGTGCACGCGTCAGTGGAGTCTGCGCGACTTCCATTGGGCCACTTCTGTCCGCGGTAGGGTCTGCTTTAGCGTGCTTGCGTGGAGTCGCCGACTCTACCAGCGTGTCCACCACGACACCAAGGTGTTGGCGCGCCCCTGCGTCCAGCTCGTCCGACGTCACGCCTTTGCGGATGGCCAGATACTCGATCTTGGCCGTCAGAACCTGTATGTCGTGCTCAATCACAGCAAACTTCTCCTTGTGGTCTAGCAGCTCTCTTCGGATGTGCACGGGAGGGTCGACGCAGATGTATCCGTTGTCGTCGATAACGGGAACAGGCTGCAGAGGTATGCGGAGACCCTGGCGCTGCAGCTCGGGAATCAGCGTTCCCTCGGCATGAGAACAAAGATCCCCACGCATTTTGTGGCGGTACCTCTCAGCGCTCACCCCCTTGAACGATATGTGCTCTCTCACGGTTATGAACCCAGATGTCACCAGTGCTTCGAGATACTGGCACATGTACACTCCGCAGTCCCAGCTGTTAGGTTGTTTGGGGATCTGGTGACCCTGCGCACCATCGAGGCACCATGTTTCCGTTCATCAGAACGCGCTCCCGTATTAGAAAGCAAGTGGGATAGAATGAGCCATACTGTCTTTGCAGCATCTCACCTCCATGATTATCGTTTCTGCCTTGATGAGCGCTTGCCTAGACGCCTCCTGGTCCACCTCCGGATGATCGCGTTTGCACATGAGGTGCAATAAACTGCACGACGATATAGCCAACAGGTCAGATGAGGTCGCAGGACTTCACCGCTGAAAGGGGGTTGCACGGTGATATATAGCGAGTCTCACGCTTTAGTCCCGTCAAAGGCATCAGTAGTCTTGGCGTGGAGGCCGTCACTGTCGAACAGAATGAACTCCACAGGTGCGGCCGTCTGGCTTACAATCCCGCTCGGGTTGGTTACCACTATCAAAGAATAGTGTTTCCTGCACAATTGAGGGGCCTTTGTTAGGCTGGGGCGACAGACGGGCTTATTACAGCGGCTTGCAAAAGACGTACTTACCCGGCATATACCGGGACGGCGATGTAATCGTACTCAAACACAGACGGGCCCGTGCACCTCCCAATCGGCTTCTTGTGAAGCTTGGCATACGCATACGCCTTGCTGTCAAGGACCACCCATGATTTCCCGTTCAAACACCTTGGGTACCTGATGTTCAGGAGGCTGCACGGGTGCGAAGGGATAACGCACGATAAAATTTTAAACGTTAAAGTCGGCATACCGTAGGTGGCGACAAAGCAACCTAGAGGAGTATCGCCAACCAAAAACGTACATGTTATGGAAATCGACGACCGCGTCCCCCAGATATTCCTTGTCGGTGAGCGTCAATGCGTCGTGCGCAGTCACTTGATAGCCCACACCCATGTGGTTATACAGAGACACCGTCTTAAAGGTCGTTGAAGATGGTGCGTTCAGTAAAGCAGTCAGCGCGTCATTCGGCGCGGGCTCATCTTTGACGCATGGCAGCCTCGAGCCCCATGCTGAAACCGACGCGGCCACTGCGGCCTCGGTATTCGTATCCCCCTGCTGGAGTTCACGCGAGCGCAGCCGCTTGTTGCTCATCGATTCCGGGATCGTGGTGTTATCCCGCCGCGGCGCTGCCGGTGGCATACGCGATGTCATGGCTTGTGGACTATGGAGGCCTCGTTTAGAGGCCTGGGCTTTGGTTCGCGGTACCATGGCGACTTCATGAGAAAGGCCGAAACCCTAGTGTGGCAAGAACTAAACTGTCGGGCTGTAGTGCGATTGTTGCGTTTATACACTCCACCAGGCATCTTCGGGGATAAACATCTGATTTGCTCAGACGACGGAGACTCAGGGACAGAGGAGATTGTAGAATGTGGATACCACCATGGCGGTTCGTGATTGGCAGCGGGTTCCAGCCATATTTGACACTTGTCACAGTGCAATTGAGTCGAGATTACTGTACCCTCGTCAGCATGCACCGCCGATACTATGCGGAACCTTTATAAACTCAATTGTGCAGCCATTATCGGGACGACATATGTCCCGTTATGAACATAACCAAATGCGATTAACAGCGACGTAACATTTCGGCCACTCACCTTGACGCGGATGGGTTTATTTCGACTTCGTTTCAGTTACACCATTGAACTATTGTCGAACACTGAACGTATTGACGATGAGTGGAGCATCCAAATTAAATGATGTATATTGATGTTCAGGGCGATGCGGCGTGATATTTCCTAAACAGTATAACTATACCATGCAATGTAACAGTGTACCGACGTACGCATTCATGCGCACACTATCTCGGAACCCCAACTGACCCGGGCATATACTGTACAGGGTACGGAAATGTCACTAACAGATTAGCTTTCAGGGCAGAAACATGTGGTTTAAAGAGTGCACAACCGTGGTAGCCTATGAGGTGTACCCACGTCATTGCGCAATCAGTAGCTTCTGTGGCCAATCCACGCCTGTCAGGGCAAAGAGGGAGTGGCCAGCTTGCGCCGATGTTTTTCTCACGCTAGACTCACTCATTGTCAATTAGCAGGTACATTGGACGCTGTACTCGCCAATCCTACCGGTTATATCATATGCCGCCATTTGTAGCAGACGCCACTTTACTTCTATGGCCGCTCTAAAGGATCTCTTGTCGCGCCTTGGCGCACCTCCCAGCGACATCTACATATTTGTAGAGGTTTCTCTCCTACCTGCTCTGCAGCCATACCTGCATCCGTTCGTCGGTCGCAATGGGAATGATATGAAGAGGCTGTCTATCGGCCTTCTCTATTCCGCAGACGGCGCGCATCGCTTCAGGCCCATTGTAGTGAGCGCCGACCGGGAGCCACTGAGGCTGGGCCACGATGTCAGCGGCGACCAGTGGGCATATATACGCCGTACTCGGTCCGGCCGCATAACCCCCCAGGTAATGGCCAATTGTACTAGAGATGACACGCAAAAATGTCTCCTATATATGGACTCAATACGTTGGTGCTAAAAATATGTCTCTGTGATACTCTATGTTGTTACGTGCAGCTTTTCACGCAGTTCATGCTAGGCCTCAACGCTGCGAAATTTGCAGAGGACCGTGACATCGTCGTCCTTGTGTCCTTGCGTAGGCACAAGCTCACTTGGGGAGAGGGCAAGCGAGAGCCGAGTGGGCCCTTCATGGTGCACCACCTAACCCATACTCGCATTGTGCAGCTTCATGATGTTGTACCAGACGTGGGGAACCCCGTCGTGCAGGGCATTGTCACATTCTTCTGGTCCGAATTCCGCACAATGTGGGTGGACCACCAGACTCGCTTCATGAGGCGCGTGCCTCCAGCTTGGGTGTGGACCAGCAACTCTCCATCGGCCGCGAACACGTTGCAGTGGACATTCCAGGCACTGTGGGGGGTGGCGACATCTCACATTCAGCTCGCGTTTTGGCGCACTGGGTGCGTCCCGGACGAGTGGCTGCCTCGGCTTCAGGCGATCAACCGCGACCTGCATGTCGAGGTTGTGGAGCAGCTCGTCGTTAGCCTCACGGGCCTGCAGAGGAGGCTGGACCAGTTGGACATCCCCGACTGCGTGATGGATGCATTGGACTACGCAACTTGGGATGACACCATGGACGAGGATACGGCCGAACGTTTTCCAGAGCCGGTCATCCGTCGGATTGATGATTCAAGCTGTGTCGGCCGCGTCAAATGGGACGACAGGACTCGCTGCCGGTTCATGCGTATGGCATCTGATGCGTACACAAGGCTTGCTAGCACGACGGGAGTAGCTCCGAGTGTCGTCGTCACGCTTAAGCGCTTGGGGAACCCGGACCTCGTTTACCGTCTGCTGCGCACACCAGAGAAGAAGGTTAGGAGGCATTCATACGCGCCTTCCTCGTCCATGTCTTCCACGGCCAGCGAGGAGATATGCTTCAACTCCCCAACGGCATCCCTGTCTAGCGTGCATGGGGATATTGAGTATGGGATGTAGTAACTGATGAGCCCTATTGATCTCAGTAACCGGTGTATTTGTCGAATAATACGCACATTGTCAATCATTGTGTACGTAACGAGATTGTTCACGTTGGGGATATAGCACATTCCACGCTCAAACCGAGAGCGAGTAAAATGTTCACCTCCCCGATATGGCACATACTGAAGAACGCGCGAAGTAATTTTGCACTTTGTGCTCGGTACACCCAGTTGACCATGAAAGCGTGCCAACACTCCACAAACCATTCCACACCGCTTCCAATCGTCCCACCAGCCCGTTCCTCGATTTCCGTAGGACGGACACTTACAAAACCCTAACGTCCGCCTAATGTTACTGATTTCAGTTGGTAGTGGCATGATGAGCGCAACGCGTAGTAAAGCGCGCGACGTGCTGGAGCCTCGTCGGCGCAACACCCGGGGTTATTTCATACGGTCTAAGCCCACTATAGCCTACGCCATAATGCAGGTGCAGGGTGCCATAATGTCACAACGAGGTCAGACCCTTAGCGCGGCCACGATTCTTAGGTCTCTGGACCCAATCCTGGGTAGTGGAAGGCGCAGTCCTAGACAGCACAGGGCGCGCGCGATTTCAGAAGCCCATGCGTCTCTTGCAATAACACCCGATGCACCCACACTGTTCATGTACCTGAGGCTCATATACGCCACGTATCCGGACGAGTCGAAGTCGAGCATTACACGTGCCAAAGGTCGCCGGTTTATGACGTCAACAGCGGATTACAGACTCGTAAATCACAGCGCAACAAGCCTCGAGGATGTCATACTACTGGAGTTACCGACATTTGACTACAGAGTGGTTCTAATCGCCGAGGCAAGGGCGATGGGATATGAGGTGAGGATCGTTGGCGTGCCGACTGGGTGTGTTTCCGATGGCCATTAAAGGTGTGGGACGTTTATCTGGTGTGCAGGAGGAGAGACATCGGTCCGATGGGTCCAGGATTTCGGCACCTCACTCAAGAGACATATGCACGGGATGTGGCACCTCATCCATTGTAAGACGTATACGTTGTTCCGTTGATGCCCTTACAAAGGACGGTGTGTGTTGTGGTGCCTGCATATCCTACGCTAAACCCAGATGAAGCATGTTTCAGGTGCACAGGCCCAAGGTGTTGAAGGACATGGACGAAGGAGTGCGCATCGGGGATCTCAGTCGTGCTCTGGGAATGATACCTTGGTGGTCCAAGGTATCTACTAAGCCCATGCAAGAAGAGTCCATGACGGGCACCTCATCCAAGACTATTGATTGTGCCTACGTTCGCCTAGTAAAGTATAACGCCAACCGGTAGACAGGACCTTTTGACTTATCGGCGTGTGGGCATAGTTTGTTACGGAACGGGATTAGACTGTGCCGTCGAAATGTTAAAATACTTGTAGATGTAGCCAGTTTGAGATTTGATGTATCATGTAAACATCAAACCTTTAGAGTTTCAGGGCCGTTCACGCTATCGAGCTTCTTTGTACATGTCGTGTAACACACACCGTAAATCAATCGGGT